TCCAATTTTTTAAAGTTATTTACATGGTCACTTGAGCAATACTGGTGTCTATTTAAGCTATTTCTGCTTTTTTGAACACCTAGGCGCAATCCATTTCATTAAATGGATGCTATTTGGGAGATTTTTACTTTTGGTCAATGCATTTCAGATCTGATTCACGCAGCATTGCATCTTTCACTCATCATTTTCACTATATTCAGTTAAGTCAACATCAAAGTTGTTACGTAGTCAATATCTATTGTTAAATTCTTTCACATTAATTCTTTCTACTCATCAATGATGCATCTTCTAACATCTATTATACATTTCCCGAAGCCCTTAAGTCTATCTTCCACACTCAAATCTTCAAGAAATACTAATATCTTGCTCTCTATTATAATCATTTCTCACCCTTATCCTACCAAATTTTACAAAAAAATCCCTTAATACTCTCATTTGATTAGTGTAGCCACTTGGTCAAATAATAATGACAATGATATCACCATTAAATGATAATCATACATCAAAATTAAAAAAATAAATGCTTTTGTCCATTTGCCCAATGTTCAAGAGGTTGGAATGCTGAAAAATATTTTTCTAGATATTAAACATAAATGACGTGTTGAGTTAAATTTATTCATTAGTCTGGTTGGAATAGGGATTTATCCAGAAAGGTCAAATATGCTACCCATTGGGAAGGCACATCTATATAAAAACTTCATAGATAATTAAGCATGTATAGTATAATCACAATTCAAAACATTGCATAACAACCTAATTTAATAAGCATGATGAAGTTCAAAATATCAAGCAAAGCTTCCAAGCCAGATACTTAACACAATTACAACCAAAAATGAAGTACGGATGTAAGGCAATCAATAAGACTACAGCAAAATAAGTCCTGAATCTTCAAGGCATCATGCTAAAAGGACAAAACAATAACAACAACAACAACATCATCATCAAGCCTTTGTCCCACTATGTGGGGTCCGCTATTAAAATCCTTTTTCTCCATTTTATCCTGTTAAAAGTCAAATTTTCGTTTAAATCTAATAAGGAAAGATCATTTTTAATATTCTCTAATCAAGTCTTTTTAGGTCTACCTCTACCTTTCTTAGCATAAGTCAAATCTATATACCTCTACTTTCCTAACCGGGTCATCGGAAGGCCACTGTTTTATGTGACCAAACCATCTAAGACATCTCTCTCTAATCTTATCTTCCACTAGAGCTACTCCAACCATTTTACGAATATGCTCATTCTGTATCCTATCTCTAAGAGTAAAGCCACTCATCCACCTGAGCATCCTCATCTCTGCAACACTTAATAATATTATGCTTCTCTTTTAATGGCCAACATTCAGCACCATAAAGCAATGCAAGACTCACCACCATCTTATAGAATTTTTCCTTTAGTTTGAGGGGGACTTTTCTATCACACAACAAGACAGATGCATTCCTCCACTTGAATTCTGTTGATAATATCCCCATCTATTTCACCATCACTGTGAACAAAAGATCCAAGATATCTAAAACGTGTACTCTTATTAATGACTTGATCACCCAAAGTCACAATCCCCTCACTAGATCTATTAATAGTAAAATTACATTCCATATATTCAATTTTAGATCTACTCAAGCGAAAACCTTTAGACTCTAAAGTTGACCACCATAATTCAAGTTTACCTTCAACTCCCTCTCTATTCTTATCAAGGTTTTAAAAGGCGAAATCGGGAATCGAGGCGTTTTTTCTAAACGAGGCGAGGCGTAAGCCTCAAAATGATTAAAATAAATTAATTTAAAATTATAAATAATGACAAAAAATAACAAAATATTATGTCAACTATGAATTTGAAGATTTGTTTTAAGATAATATTACTAGAATACAAGATTTAAAATAAACTCACTTAAAAATAAAACATCCCCTTAGGATCAAGACCCAAAGCAGGCTCATCATCACTTTGATTGTCTTCAGAAGAATCTTCATAATTAATGTCAAAGTCATCCTCAAACTCTTCTTCATCTATAATATATTTTCCTTTTGATCTCATATATCAGTTAATATTTCATTAGCTATTAAATGAAACAATAGAAACATACAAAATAAGTCATTATATTAAAGAATACCTTTGAATTTTTTGAAAGCTCAATACTTCACTTGTTTCTTCCTTTTATATACTTGGCAGTTGCTTCATTATCTTCCATTGACATGAGTTTCTCCTTCTACTCAACTTCAGAAACATCAGCATTCTTAGAGTAAACCCAATTCCATCATCGTTACCGACGTTGTACCGAAGATGTTACTGCTCAGTACCGAGCGTTGTACCGAGCGTGTACATCATGTACCCGCTCTCGGAGCATGTACCGAGCATGACTGCTCAGTACGAAGTGTGTACCGAGATGTACTGCTTAGTACCGAGCATGATACCGCCTCAGTACCGAGCGAGTACCGAGCAAACGTATCCTCGTACCGAGCATGTACTAGCAAGTACCGGCAATGCTAACAATACTGATGAAGCAAGACAATGAAGCAAAAATAACGAGAAAGAAGATCAAACAATTACCATAGACCGGAAACCAGACCTTCGATATACCAGGAAGAACTGGAGAAGAAGAAGCGAGACATGAAGCAAATGACGGAAACGATCTACAAGAAGAAAGAGAAAGAAATAATTCGTTACCATAAATCGATCCCATCCAAGTTGATTTCGAAACAAACGACCGAATGTGTCATCGAAGTCGACGGAGAATTCAGCCTTTCAGTTCTCCACCGATAGCAGAAGCACGTATAGTTAACCCTAATACTCGACCCTACTTATACGACTCAATGCAACCGCTCGGTCTATATACTGACAAATCGAAGCGGTGCCTCGTTTCGCTTCGAGGCGTTACGAACCAAAGCCTACGCCCTGTGAGAAATAAGCGCACGCTCCGCCGAATCCAACGAGGCGTAAGCCTCAACGCGCAAATGCTTTGCCTCGCCTTGAGTCGCATCTCAGTACGTACGCCTCTTCTGCCTTTTTAATCGTTGATTCTTATCAACAAGAAGAATATCATCAGCAAAAAGCATACACGATGGTACATCCTCTTGCAAATGTCTAGTGAGAACATCCATGACTAAAGCAAAAAGATATGGGCTTAAGGCAAATCCTTGATGTAATCCAACCAAAATAGGAAAATATTTGGTCAAACCACCTTGTGTTCAAACACAAGTAATAGCCTACATACATATCTTTAATGATTTGAATATAAGTGTTATTAACTCATTTATTTTCAAGAACTCCCTATAGCACTTATCTTGGAACTTTATCATATGCTTTCTCTAAATCGATAAATATCATATGTAGATCATTCTTATTCTCTCTATATTTCTCCATCAAACCTCTCAATAAATGTATGGCTTCCATAGTAGACCTACCCGGCATGAATCCAAAATGATTTTAGTCTTCAAAATAGTATTAAAAAATTTAGTGAGCCAAGAAATTTCTTCTATCTCCTAAGCATTTCCACACCTCTATTAGGATATCATCAGGTCCAACAGCTTTTCCACACTCCATTTTCTTTAAAGTCTCTCTAACTTCGATTTTACTAATACACCGATAAAAACAGAAATTTTTATTTTCATTTAGGGTGCTAAGGTCATTAAAGTCAACTGTATTTTCACATTCTTCATTAAAAAGTTTAGCAAAATATTTCATCAGCCTTTTTCGAATATCATCTTTTAAGAAAAATACTTTTTGATCTTCATCCTTAATACACTTCACATGAACTAAATCCTTACTACTCCTATCTATTTGTTTGACTAACTTATACATATATCTTTCTCATTCATTAATATCGAATTTATTATATAAATCATTAAAAGCTAAGATCTTTGCATCGCATATTGCTTTCTTATAATCCTTATATGCCTATTTATATCTTTCCTAATTATCAGAATTTTTACATCTGAACTAATTTTATAATAAATCTTCTTATTTTATATCTTTTCTTGAACATTTGAATTCCACCAACTATTTTTACAATTAGGAGTTTTTCACTTTAATACTCCAAGCACAACTTTTGCAATATTTTTAATATCACTAGCCACTTTTTTCACATAACATTAACATACTCATGCACAGACAAAATCTTAAGATCTAAAATCTTATTCTCAAAAATATTTTTGTTAATATTTTTTAAATGTCTCAATCTAGTCCTAGAATATCATTTTACTTTTTTTTTTTCTGCCCCTTTATCTTAAAGGCCAAAACTAATAATTGATGTTGAGTATATAAATTTTCACTCGAAATAACTTTACAATATTTGCAATCTAAACGATCTAATTTTCTTGTAAGAAAAGAAAAGAATTTACAAGGACATGAACAGAGACTCAAAAATCAAAAGCAGCACAAGAATTGTTATAAAGAACCATACATTTAAGAAACCGGAGCTGCTGGCACATTCCAATTTCACACAACCATGTCGCCGTTCAAAACCAGAGTAGAGAAGAATTAAAACGGAAAAGGAAAATAGAAAACTTCAAAAAAAAAAAAAAAATAGGAGTTAGAGAATCCAAATAGCACATATCAACCAGCAGAAATAATAGCAGTCAACCTAAAAAAAAGATCACAGCTACATCATAACAGAATGGGAAGCAAGAAAAATGGATCCATTATTTGCTAAAATTTAACAAAATAATTGTGGCATGCCAAAACTATAATGAAAAAAAAAAAGTTTAAAAAAAATTAAGAGGTTATTTTCAGTGCTATTTACGTGAAACACTTTGCTGCTCCAGAGCACACTGTTGAACCGGGCTTTCAAGTGATGTAAGAGAGCTCAATTAGCTGATGAGAATGCGCATCTGAACAACTTCTAATAGCACTTCTACACTTCAGAAAACTTAAAAACGCTGGATAAAATAGAGAATATTTCTAGTTTCACAACTAATTTCGTTTTTATGCATTCATCCTCTATATCATCAAAAGCAATAATGATTTGAAGGTTAGAAAAAAATGACAAGCTGGCAGATGGTAGACACACCTGTACAACACCATCATAATCGGTTGATGCTAAGTAGTTCTTGATGTAATTATTCCAACTAACACAACTGAGCTTTGATCTACTTGACATTTCAATCAATGGGTAGTGAACATCAAAAGCCTCATTTAAAAGAGCCCCAAATTCAAAGATCTTAATTTTCTTTGAAACCCCAGCAGCAGCAAAGTATTCTTCATCACGGTCAAAGCTCAATGAGCAGATGACATTTGCAGAATTAAGGATATCCACATTTCTAATGCTGCCCCGAACTTCAAATTTGCTGTATCGCGCATATTTGCATAAACCTTCAAAAAAAGAACCAAGGCAGTCGGTAGATTCCTCCTTTATACCAGCCGCATCCTGGAACTGAGAGAAATTATCACGAATCCTAAGGACACCTATATCAGATCGTGTTGCAACATTAGTTTCTGAAAGTTTAACATTGGATCTCATATAGAAGTATGCGTGTTTGAGCTGCTCAATATTCTTCATCAATCTTTCTTCGTTTACATTTGATACAGACCATGAAAGCATTGTTCCAATCTGAATTGACACATCTGAGTTGTCTCTAGAGCTAGCCGGCAAACCATTGGCATTAGAAATAGACTCAACTCCTGATAAATACCGCCTCTCAACCTCCGCAATGTCCGTTTCTAAGCAATGAATATCAGCCACCAACTTGGCAGCCTGATTTTCATTTTGGTCCTTCAAAGATGAAAGAAACTGTAATAAGAGGTATGCTTCAGCATCTTCTTCATCTATAGATACTGATAATTGATCTATAGCCGAAACGTTGTTGCATTCAAATATTAAGTTGCTTGACGAGATTTCCCTGAAATAAACAAAATAATCAGGTTCTATGACGAATAGAGCACACAGTGGATTGTGTAATTGCATCAAACAATGAAGTTAAAGAAAATATATTATTAATCTAGATTCTAACAAAACTCAAACCAATAAAAAAAATTAATTACCTTCCCATAAAAAGCAAAAGCCCTGCATGTACTGGCGTGTGCACCATACACGCATAGGTTGATGCATATAGGGTGAAGGGGAGGAGAAAAAGACTGCTTGAAACGTGGAGCTAGCAGCCACTTACTCTAAAAATTTAACACTTTCTACCGACTCAATAAAAATAATGAGGGTCTATCACTAGAAACAAAAAACAACGAAAAAAGAGCATTTTTCCTACAACAAATAAGAAAAAAAGAGAATTTTAAAGGATAAGGAAGGAATAATGAGCCAAAGAAAAAAGGAATACGTAATTGATAAACTTAGAATGCATAAAATGAAAATTTTGTGCATTTACGTCAGTATATCAAGTAATACCACAACCAAGTGGTTTAACTAGCTTAGTTTAGCTTGAAAATAACAGAATATAAAAGTTGGCTTCCCTCTGAAGTATTATTTGACATCTGAGGCTTCATAAATATAAGATTTGGTTTGTTCAAAGGAACAAACTAGCAACTTGTATGGAGCGCTATGTCTGGCACAAAGAAAGAGGTCACTTGGTTAAAGAAACAAACTAAGTGAAGTGCACATGAAAATGCTAATATGAGAAAAAGAAATAAAACGAGATGGTATGTCGGAGGATGTTTGAAGTAGCATTTAGGAAAAAAAATTGTGTAAACTAAGAAGAAATGGCAAAAAAACGAACATAACAAATGGGGCAAACTTGAAGTGGATAAGAGTTGACTAATTTGAGAGGTGGGCCCAAAATGAAATGGGTAGAAGTTATGACAGAAAATCTAACATCCAAGAATTAATAGAAGCAATAATAGATTAATTGATTCAATGCTGAGGGGAGTAGAGTGCATTTGATTGCAAACCAAGAAGAAATACCATCCTTCTTATTACTCAAAACTTGGAAGCAGATTTCAAATGAAATAGTTGTCAAATCAATGCAATTCAAACTAAGTTTATTTTGTGACTTATCAGGTCTAATGTAGCACGGCTGATGTAAACTTTATTACTTAACCTAATGCATAATACTATATAATAGTCATACTAAATGACTAGAAGGTTGCATCACTTGGAGGTTTTTCCAAGAACCGTGGTTAGGTTGTCTCCATTGCAAATTGGTGTCCACGAATTTGAGTCATAAAAATAATTTCTCTACAAATGCAGGTAAGACTACATACTACATCAACAACCTCCCAAACCTCACATTTATTGGCAGAAGCTTCATGTACTGGTACGCCAATCCAAGAAACCCTTTAGAAAAAATAATTTCAAAAGTAAACAGGAAAGGTGCTCAATCTATGCTGGTTGCGTGAACCAAAAACAAAAAATCCTGAGTACCAACCAAGGAAAGATTTCTAGGAATTTAAGAAAGTCAGCCAACCTTGCAAGGACCTGCCAAAATCATCTACATCGAATGGTTTGGTGCATTTCAGGTTTAGTTATTTGTCTTTTGCAGTTCCAAGCTAGACATAGATAATCAAAACAAATAAAGAAGATGAGAAATACATCAAGTATATGCTCTTCTTGCCTGAGAAATAGAGTTGACTTGCAGACATAAGGCAAGCAAGCAAGCACTACAATATAGAAGTTGGACATATAACACTGAACTGCAACCTAACATGTAGGTAACAATTGAGTCATTGACTTCTTGAAACTGAATAAAACTATAAAACAACCAGTCCTTAGTGTCACCTAATGAAATCTCAACTAAAACTATAGACAACAAAAAGATGCAAATTTGTTTTGACAAACATTAGTCAATACAACATAAACAACATCAATCCTTTATCCCACTACATGGGCTCGGCATTGACAAACATTAGTCAATATAAAGAAAAAAAATGTTAGCTAGTAGCCACAAGTGATTAAACTTAATAGTTTTATGAGATAGGATAATGGTCATAGTAAGTAAACATTCTTAATATAAAATGCCATAATATCAAGGGGAAAAAAAGGATAGGAAAAGAACGGAAAAAATGGTCCATTTCATCACCCTTATCCAAAGGCAAACAGTCCCCAAAATCAATCTGCTAGACAGCTTGAAACTCAACTTGTTAATCATAACTTTCCTTAAAATAAAGGATCCTAAAACGGTAGTGTTGCTTATCCTGTCATCTTGCCAATTGTTCAACATAAGAAAAGGCTAAAATACCTCAAAAGCATGAAAGGATAAAAAGCCATCAAAATGGAAGCATGGAAAGAAAGCATGAATTCTCAACAAATTTTCCACTTGATGAAAAACTGTCTGCACTGCATATCATGGACCATTAAATTCATGAGTTTCCAACATGGATAAGACGTTAGCTACTTGCCTTGACTTTGGCCGGGCAGAAGGATCAGGATGAAGCAACCAAAGACAAAAACCAGCTTCCTTGGGACACTCCGATAAAAAGCTTGGAGGAAGAATCCTGTGTCGGAGATTAGACATTGCAGCAAGATGCACTTCTTCTGTCTCAAAAGAGCAGAATAGCTGACAAATAATTAGGAAGTATAGTCAAGAGCTGATGGGACCCGCACCTTTCTGGTGGAAAATGTTCTAAATGAGCAAATAAACCTCTTTTCTTAAAACAATGTGGAAAGCAATAGTGGAGAAAACAAAGAACCATACAATAACCCTTCTCAGAAATCATGAATAAAAAAGTATACTAGAATTTAAGTTATCTTTGAACAAAATCATATTACTTCGCAATATATGATCCAATATCAACTACGTAAGAATTTCAAGATATCTTATTACAAACTTGAAGCTTGGATTCTACATATGATTGAACCTAGATTATTCAACATTACATAGTTCAAGACCATGAAAATTCTGAAAAACGTAATGACCAGAGCAAGACATTGCCTCACTCAAACTTGGCTTGGTACCATTAATTGAGCTGAAGTTAATCTTGAAATTCTCTAAAGATTTCAAGCCGAGTTCAATCTTGTTTTGTTTCTTTTTATCAAGCTTGAGTTACATTTGACCTTCAAACAAGGTAAAAGTTATATATGCAAGTGGAACTATTTGTTTTCAGCTATGCTTACAGTGATTCCTTATTGATCTTTTGTATGTCAAATAGCATTTTTTTATTACTTACTAAAATTTGACTTTTAATAGGACACAATGGAGAAAAAAGATTCATGTAGCCGACCCCACGTAGTGGGATAAAGGCTTGTTGTTGTTGTTGTTGTACTAAAATTTGAAAATCAAATGGAAAAGGAACAAATGAGCTGTCACAGAGCTACAGAGTGACCATGCCACTTAACTCTATTACTATGCCCACTTTAAAGTACAGAGAATGGAAACAGACTTATAAAAGAATACTGAGAAAGCAGATATAATTTAAACTACTAAACAAACTATATATTATCATCTTTTTTCATGCTCGTATCAAACCAACTTTTCATACTAGTAATTAATATGTTAATGAACTATTAATAACCTGAGAAGTTCATTGCCTTGCTCAAGCTCAGTTTGGTTATCATTCATTAAGCTGGAACCAAGCTTCAACTTCTCTAAGGATTTCAAAATAATGTTCAATCTGATAGGAAATATTCCTACTTGTATGCACAAGTAAACCTAACCCAAATTAAGTACCTAAGCAAAGAAAACTGCTGTTCGCAGCGAGAAAACAGCCCAAACAGTGGGAAATCTGAGAAAAACTTAATAGAAATTTGTAGAAAATCAAAGCAAACACTTGTATTCCAATAGTAGATGAAAGCACTTGTAAGATACAATTTTCCTTCAATTCGAGAGGAAGGAAATACTCTCCACAATCTCCGGCAATGCCAAGAGCCCAAGAACAACCCTAGATCTCAAATAAAATTCAAATTCAAGATAAGAGCCAAACTCTCACCATAACTCCTAATTAACGACAAAGGAAAATTGCAAATTCCCTAAAAAAGCCCCCTCATTCAAAAATTTCCCTCCCAAAATTGATTTAACCCTTAGTGAGGCCCACAGGGGCTTCCGCCCCCCCTTGATGTTTCCGCCCAGCCAGGCCCCACCTGGTATAAACCTGGACCAGTCCTGGTTGGACCAGTCCAGCCAGCCCCTCCTGGGCCGGCGTAACATTACTCCCCTCCCAAAAACTCACCTTGTCCTCAAGGTGAAAGGAGGGGAATTGCTCTTTCACTCTTTCAGACGGCTTCCAAGTCGCATCGAAATCAGGTCCTTCCATTGAATCAACACTTCCTTGTTGCCTTCTTGATCTGATCTTACCCCCATAAGCTCTAGGGGTTCTAACATCACTTCTCAATCCTCCGTCATTGTTGCTGGTAACTCGGCGCTAACTGCATGCTCCCCCAGAGCTCTCCTCAGCTGTGACACATGGAACATCAAATGTATAGTAGCGGAGGGGCGTAACTTCAGACGATACGCTACTGCTCCAATCTTCGCTTCTTCATTATTTATTGTGCCCTCTCCAGATGTTTCTTTAACTCTTCCAACACTCGATCCCTCTCCTCTAAGTACTATTTGACTGAAGAGACAGGTGTGTTTCCCTTCCCATAATGTACTAAGTGTGGGGGGTCTCTTCCATAGAGCACCTTGAAAGGAGTCATCTGGGATGCCGAATGGTACGAAGTGTTATACCAGTACTCCACCCAAGGCAACCATTTAGCCCATTTCGGTAGTGTTTCAGAAGCAAAACACCTCAAATATGTCTCCAAGCTCCGGTTAATCACTTATGTCTGCCTATCTGTCTGTGGGTGGTACGCGGTGCTCCTCTTGAGAATTGTGCCCTGCATTCTGAAAAGTTCTCTCCAAAACTGACTGAGGAACACTTTGTCTCTATCCGACACAATTGGTTCTGGAATCCCGTGTAATCGAACCACTTCCCTGATAAATGCTGCCGCCACTGATACTGCGGTGTAAGGGTGTCGTAGGAGGATAAAATGTGCATACTTACTGAGTCGATCCACCACAACAAAAATAACTGTGAACCCTTCTGAGCGGGGTAGGCCGTCGATGAAGTCCATAGACACTTCCTCCCATACTCTGTTTGGAAGTGCTAATGGTTGGAGTAATCCCCCTGGTGCCATTGCCATGTACTTATTTCTCTGGCACACCTCACACCTTGCCACCATCTCCTCAACATCCTTATGCATCCCCTTCCAGTAGAGTTATGATGCCAACCTCCTATATGTCTTGTGCACTCCTAAATGACCCCTAACTGCACTGCCATGGAATTCCTGCATTAGGTGAGGAATGTGTACTGATGTTCGTGGCATTACAAACCTTCCATGGTTAAATAACCTCTCTCCCTCCAGATAGTACCCTGAATGGCTGCTACTGTCCTTCTTCAAACTTTCCCTGATCTTCTTCAACTCTTCGTTCTGCATGCTCTGTTCCTTGATGGCCCCCCAATCAACCATCAGGGGTACTGAAACTGCCACCTCATGAAGTTCCCCCACACACCTAGATAAGGCATCAGCTGCCTTATTCTCCACCCCAGGCCATTACTGGATCTCAAAATCATAGCCTAACAGCTTTGACAACCACCTCTGATGTTCCTCGGTCATCATCCTTTGCTCCAGCAGGTATTTCAGACTCCTCTGATCTGTACGGACAATGAAATGTCGACCCAACAGGTAAGGGCGCCATTTCTGAATGGCCAAGACTATGGTCATCAGCTCTCTCTCATACACATACTTCAAGCTAGCCTTGGTCGATATCACCTGACTGAAATATGTTATAGGTATGTGATTTTGCATCAACACTGCTCCTAAGCCATACCCTGACGCATCGATCTCCACTATAAAGATCTGATTGAAATCTGGAAGAGCTAACACCAGGATTGTCATCATAGCTTTCTTCAATCTCTCAAAAGTTTGGGTTGCCGCCTCCCCCCATACAAAGTTGTCCTTCTTCAACTGCTCAGTCAATAGCCAGGCGATGGTGCTGTATCCCTTCACGAACCTTCTGTAGTAGCCAGTCAATCCTAGGAAACCCCTCAATTCCCTTATGTTTCAAGGCATTGGCCATTTATGCATTGCCTCAATCTTTGACTGGTCGGCCGCCACTCCCTCTTCAGAGACCACATGCCCCAAATATTCCACCCTAGACTGGGCGAAACTGCACTTCTTTAGGTTAGCTTTCAGCTGATGGGCTTGTAGGATCCTAAGAACCTCCTTCAAGTGCTCCAAGTGCTCCTCCTCTGTTCGGCTGTACACCAAAATGTCATCAAAGAAGACTAGCACAAACTTCCTCAGATGTTGACGGAACACTCTATTCATCAAGGACTGAAAAGTAGCCGGAGCGTTAGTGAGCCCAAACGGCATCACCAAAAACTTACAGTGCCCCTCATGCGTTTTGAATGCCGTCTTCTGAATGTCCTCCTCCTTCATTCTAATTTGGTGGTAGCCAGACTTCAAGTCCATCTTGGAAAATACTATAGCTCCGTTCAACTCATCTAGTAACTCATCGATCACTGGAATAGAGAATTTATCTGGTACTGTCTCCTTGTTTAGCGCCCTATAATCCACACAAAACCTCCAGCTCCCATCCTTCTTTTTGACGAGCAAGATAGGACTGGAGAAGGGGCTCACACTAGGTTAGACAATCCCTGCCTCGAACATCTCCCTAATCAGCTTCTCAATTTCATCTTTTTGAATCTGAGGGTAGCGGTAAGGTCGAACACTAATCGGTGACACCCCGTCCTTCAGAAGGATGGCGTGCTCCTGCTCTATGGGTGGTGGCAGGCCTTATGGCGGTTGGAACACCACTTTCAACTGTTGTATGAGTGGTTGCACCACCCGTGGAATGTCTCCTTCTTCCCCCACACTGACCCTCTCCAAGCGTTGCAGCTCCATTAAGTATCCCCCTCCCACCTCCTATATGGATCTGATCATGGATTTGAGAGATACTCCTGCCCTAGATAGCCCTGCATCACCCTAAATCGTCATCCTCTGTTCCCTCCACCATTAGCTCCATCCTCAGAGCACCTCAATTGACTTTGGTCTCCTCCAAAGTCTATAGCCATTTCATCCCCAGGATGACATCGATACTCCCCAATTCTAAGGAAAGGAAATCCTCCATGACCTGGATCCCTTGAATGGACAAAACCACTCCCCTGCAAACTCCTCTCCCCATCTCCACCTTCCCCGTGCCCATCATCACTCCATATCCTCCCATATCCACTAATTTCACTCCTAACAGATGTACAATCTATTAGAGATGAAATTGTGGGTGGATCCACTGTCGATCAACACCACCACCTCCTGATCCCCTATTTCTCCCCTCACCTTCATGGTGTGATTTGGTGTGAATCCCACCACAGAGTTTAGAGAAACCTCAGCTACATCCAGATGTAGCTGATCTTCTTCTTCCTCCCCTATCCCGCTCTCGCCTCCCTCCTCAGTTTCCTCGTCATCACAGACGGTGAGAACCTGAAGAGTTCAGTCCTTACACCTATGCCCTGGCATGTACTTCTCGTCACATCTAAAGCACAACCCCTTAAAATTTCCTCCAGGCCCCCTTTCTCCTAT